CATGGAGTAAACCCCTTTTTGATACACAGAACTGTCCTTCTGGGTTTGGTCTGTACCAGTCAGGAGGAGTTAGAGCTTGTGGTAAACAAACATTACACAATGGTTGCATATCAGTTCAGTTCCCATCTAATGATATCAGTTATTCTCAGGTGTGTGGTAGAGTAACAGGATATATATTTGGTTCTATAAATGGTCTTAATAGTGCTCAGGATTTTTATGGTGTTAGTATCACTCAAGGACCTTCCCGTCAAAAAGTCTGGTCATTCATTGCTGGTCAAAGTGAATTAGGCTCTTCATGTCCATGTAATAATGGTAGCTCTGTATCAGTGCCAGCTTCTATTGGTAATAACTACTTCTGTGAATCAGGTGTTCCTAGTATAGCAGATTCTCTACACATCTGATCCACTATGGGATGGTCAAGGTTGTGGCTCTCTTGAATCCCCTTGTTGTAATGTTCCTGGTATCCCATGGTTTCACAGAGACTATGGTAGCAATACCACTACTGACTATATTGAGTTGAGGGTGTGTGCTGATTTTGATGATGAAGACAGTCCTGTTAGTTATTATGAGATTTATGTTAAGTAGTTAAATGTGTGTGTCTTAATAGAATAGTGTGATAATTACTAATATTTCTTTATCTTAGTATATACTAGTACAATGCTAAGTTTTATTTTTGATTTATTTCAGTACATTATGCAGAACAGTGTGATATTTGACACTATAGTATAGTTGTGATAACTCATTCAACCAAATTTGTCTTGTAACTATTCTTGTCAGCAAAAAGTCACTACTAAGCATTAACACACCATTTGAACTTCCAAATTTCATTTCCTGATTTTCAACAAAAACTGAGGTTCTCCCTATAAGCTTCAGTGGCGCACACCCAAGGTAAAGTAATGATGTTAGATAAAAATGATTACATCATTGTTTACAGAAGAACTACCGTAATTCTTCTAAAAATTCACCACAGTCACTTTTGATAAATAAATTTTGAAAACGAATAATTAGAGTAAACTAAGCCTTTATGGCCAACTAGCAATTAATTATGACAAAATAGGAGGCACTAAGATGCATGTCTGGACAAGATATTGTAAGTCTGTCGATGCTTCTTTGTTGGTTGACTAATACAATCTGAATCTTGAACTTGGGCCTACTAATGGCAGTCATCTGTCTGGTGGAGTGCTGCTCGAGGCATCACTGTGAGTTAGACATGATTTTCGGCCTCTTCCAGCACAGGTCCATGTGCTATAATGCTGTCAAGTGTCGAAATTGGAGGGAAATGGCGAAATTGGAAGAAATTTCATCATAATTTACAAAACAAATAATTAGAATTAATTTGGAAATAAAAGTGCTTAAAAATTATTTATTTTCGAAATTAGAGGTGCGAAATTTTAGAAGAATTACGGTAATACCAGCACTAATAAATGCAATGCCATTGGTGGATTGAAAACAACATTTAAATTTCATAAATAAGCTAAAAGAAAACATGCGTTAAATACAAACAGTGCTAGCCCAACCACTCAATAGCTTAGCAATGAACAATACTAGTACAGAATGATACAATAACATGTACTGTACATGTACATGTAACTTAAGTGCATGTAATTATGCATCATTCTACACTACTTATGTAGTACTTAAAATGATGAGCTAACCGTATATTTTAGTCCTTGAAGATTATCAGTAGTTTCTTTTAACCAGTCAAAGAATTCCTGAGCATTATCAGTTGGTTCTCCCTCTCCATAAGTGGCCATTACAAAAATAACAAGTGATCCTTCAACTTCCTGTCCTACTCTAGTAAGGTCATCCTAATATAAAAATAAAGTAGTACAATATTATGATTAACAACAACATAAAATAAAAGATATATTGATAATAATCAAATAATCAGAGCTAAAGGTACAGTAGCTCCTAAACAGTGGATTGGTGCACTTTTAATTTTCACTGAAATAAATTTTAATTCAAGAATTTGCAAAAAGGTCAGTACATGTACATGTGTTTTTGGTCCCGTAATTTATCAAAATCTGCTCGAACAAATTATGTCTTGGACAGTATAATATCAATAGTGATATTTCAGAGTCTATGATTCATACTTTCTTGAAGATAAATGCCTAACATTAGTGGAATGAACTTTCTAAGGGAGAAAATACTGTATGACTAGAATGCAACCCCCACAACTCCAAATTTTCATCAGTCAAAACTTTTGTCATAATCTTAATTTGTTAAAATTAATTTTCATTAACAGAATTTTTGTTGTTTCTGTTATAAATCCACATACCACCCACGTGGAGCAAAAATTCTGTCAAACAAAAATGCCTCATTATATTGATGAAATTTTGACTAACAAAAATTTGCAGTTATGCGCTACCAAATAAAAACTAAAATACCAAAAATCTGACGAAAACATGGCATAAAGTGACAAGGAGATTGACTTCTAAAAGGCAAAGCTTTTAAAAGAAGTTTTCTACATGTACATACATGTAGATGTACATGTAGCATCTACATATAACCCAATGCATGTACAAAACATTGGGGTAATGTCAATCCAAATTAATGATTAAGATCCTTACCCAGTCAGTGCAGTCCTCAGGGTCAAAGGTCATGGCTGGTAGTCCTAAATGAGATGAGTCCTTTGCTAATCTATTGGAGAACTCTTTCCCAGTACCAGTTTGAGACCCATACAGAATCAATATCCTTTTCTTTCTGGTTTTCATTTTATCAATAAAACTACCAGACGTACTCAGTGAGAAGGAATAAATGGAGATGGAATCTGTTTTATACTAATAGAGAGAGAGAGACAGAGAGAAATTCATGAACAGTCATTAGACTTGATCCATTAATACTATATTTTGACAAAAAGCAGTCATTTACATGTATGTGTAATTAGAATAACTTCATAAAATGTTACATTGAAATTTTTAATTGTTTTTCATTTTTGTGCTCACCCTAAATATAAATTTTATAAGCCAGGCTAGTCTGGGCACGAGACTAAAGCCAGACTCAAGACACAAAAATAGAGGATATGCATGTAAGTATATGCATATTCATAACTTTTAAGTACTGTATATCCAACCCACACAGAAAATTGGCCTGCCATGTTGGACGTCAAGTTTTCAATGGAGAAAACATTTTCTTGCCTTGCTACCTTCTTGAGGCCTTTTTCATAAGCTTAGAAAGCATCCTAAGAATTTAATGGGGTCTAGTAGTCACCTGAAAGACTGCTATCAAGAAAATTAAATTTTATACTTGTAAGTTATTATGTTATGCAATATTTCATTTTGCAATGAATAGACTTATTATGTATCCTCTAATAGTGTGCATAATTATTATTTATTATTCAAAGCAGAATTTGCAACAGTCAAAAAATGTAAACGGCAAAACATGACCTAAAACCATGTATGTCTACATAAAATATATTACACTTACATCTAAGAATATATACATGTACATGTACACATCATGGCATCGTCTCATGATGAAGAGTCTTTTTTTAGTTACCTGGATGTTTTTTATTAGGAGTCTTCATTCTTATCCTTTTCCTGATAGTTAGAAAATTTAGGAGGAGAGCAAGAGGAGATAATGAGAGGGTAAAAAAGCTGCAAATTAATCCAGTGTGATGTTGAATGGGCGTGGCTCTTAAATTAATAGAGGAGTGGCTGACCACGTGTAGCTCCAACTATCTAAGAGTGCTCGCAAGAGAGATAGATCTACTGCTAAAGACTACAACTCACTACGTCTTATAAAACTACATTGAGGACTCTACGCTGATATTAGAGCTATGAACCTTATGTTTTAATGGTAAGGATTGATATGTGTGAAGTCTGTTACTGAACAGTGTATTTTTTAATTTAAGTGGGAATGTTTATGTATTTTTGGCTCAATAATGAAACAAATGGGGTGCAACCACATA